GTAATTACCAATGTGTAGGCGCTATCGCATGTCACCTTGTCCAAGTACCATTACCAGAGTGCTATACGATACACGAAATACTGTTTGGAATGATGCAATCAAACAATGTAATAATTTAGTTCAGGGGATACGATTTCGGGAAATCTGGGAACTACTGACATTTTCTAGAAACAACCTCTGACGCAATTTTGCTAAAACTGAAACAAAACCTCTTGAGGGAGCTTAACGACGTATTGTCCGTCCCATTTTCGTGTTTCACCCAGACAATAGTTTAATTTCTATTGTCTACCAATACCAAAGTTATTCACTTTTAAATGAGACAACAACCGAAAAACCGACCCACGCTTAGAATAATTCCTTTACATTACGTGCAGGTTAGACTGCAGCATCCCTATCGGAACCATAATGTAGGAAACGGTAACCAGTCTATTCCCGGGATATGTGCAAGAGCAACCCAAAATAATATAGCTCTTATTCTGAAGGTTGCCAATGCCAGAAGATACAGAGTACTTGTTTTGTTGAGGTTGGGGTGGGAACCAATTGAAACATCGATAGGTGAAGGAAAAATAAAATCTGTTGAAGAGAAGCGCCGATACATCAGTAAACGGCCTTGAGCCTTGCTTTAATAGTACAGGGGAGCTGGGGCTAAATTACTGGCAGAGATTGAGAACCCATCCTCCTCAGAAGGTTTCACTTTTATCAGGTGTTATATTTTTAAACGTAAACACTCTCTGTGCTCCACAAACTTTAATGTGCAATGAGTCGTGAGTGCAGTCATTCACATTTGGATGTTAAAAGCTGGTTTACGCGCACCCACCGCATTACATGCCAAATGATGCCAGATAATTGGGTACTTATTTCCGGTAATAAAGCAACTTCGGTTGAGGAATCCAGTTTATCCATTCATTTCTGATCACATTACAATGTCTACTAAGCACCAATTAAGGCAAATATGGCGCCCTTCAGCGAGAATCACAGCTCGGGGCAAGGACGATATAAATCAGATAATTTAACATCACGCAATCCATACCAAAGATCGACAGTTAACAAATAGCTCTTGTAAACCCAACCAGGCTTTACCTGATTCTTCTGCTTTCAGTTGTAGTAGCGATTGACGAACCAGTGTTTAAACAGTAAAAGTGGGGTGGCTGATGTGTTAAAGTATAGCTTGAGATCCAGGATTTCCCAAGGGGTGATGGTTGCATTGTGGAAGTTATGCACAAAAAGCAACTTAAGGCTTTAATGTTTTTCTCGATAATCTGCACACAAAAAACGAAGCAGTGGTTAGCAAACAACCCCTTCCCCCTTCAATACATCACTGGACTTTGTAGCGTAATTTATCTAGAAACAACCAACAAGATAATCAAATAAATGGTTTCACTACCCCAATTACAAGGTATACTACAAAGTTAATCCTTTGGGGGGGGGGGCACAATTTTCAAGACTTTCAACAACAAATTTAAATAAAGAAGAAATGGAGAAAAAAAACAATGACTTAAAACAACCTTCCTTCAGTGACGGTAAGCTTTTGAAGGGATTGGGTTTACGTCTGCTTTTGGAATCAAAGCAAAATCTGTCAGATCTAGATATTGTTTAAATCCACAACCTCGTCTCTTTTACTTGGGTTGATTTGAGACAAAACAATGCCTCTTGCCAAGGTTTCACATTATAGTACGTATATACAAACAATGACAGCAGTTGGACCTTCAATGAAATGCCCGACTTGCACTGTTTGGATTGTTGCATCAAAATGGGATATTTTGGGAAAATAAGAGCACACTTAGCCAAATTGCAAACGTGACTTTGTACTGAAAATCCTATTACCGTCGGAGCTTAAGTCAACAGACGATACATGACCGTGGCTGAGCTGCTTGGTTGTACGGGCCAAGTCTGCTATGTACCGGGCACTCATCTCCGCTCACTCGGTCTGACTGTCATCATCATAATCGTAGGCTTCGATAGAGCTTCCTGCTTTCAACACTCGCCAGCTTTAAAAACACCGCTTTGTGAGTTCCTTGGAGTTGTAAGACGGTAGCAGTAACTAAGGCAGCTCGTGCACGTTTAATCTTCAACCAGGGACACATTATTTTCACGAGACTGCTACGCAGACAAGAATTTCCTCAGAAAAGAATTCTTGCCGACAAAAGTCAGCTGGCTACCATCCCAGGAAATACTTATCATATCATTTTGGGGGGCTGGTATCCTGCATTTCCAGACAGAATGTCGTGCGAAGGAATAGACCAATTATAAATTAGTATTGAATCCGAGGCTCTCAGTGCTGAGCTATTGTATGAATTGAGGACCTTTTTATCCTCTCAACAATAGAGCGAGCACTGGGGTCCTCGGTTTCAGTGCCAATTTGAAATTCGTATACTCTTTGTGCGTGGACGCTTTATGAAATTGAGCCTAGTGCACATTGACCAAGCATTTTATGAGACAATTTTTAACAAGTGCGAGTGCACAATAAGCTCTGGCGAAAAATGCGACGCCGATGGCACATATGGAACACCATACCTTTGGTCAATTTTGGGGCCATTTCCTCCTTCTTGATACCGTCTAACCACTACACAAACGTGACTGCACATTACTGCACATTATTTTGCCTCCATTTACACACTCTCTCTATATATATATATCTTTCCGAATTGCTAAAAACATTTTCTGTTAAGAATTAGATCTTTTTTGTTGTGAAATTTCCAATTTGGTAGTGAAATTTGTTGTGGGTAACTTATGGGGTCAATTTTTGGGGACAGACAAAATAAACGCGCATGCCCAGCGATCGAAGCAAAACCGGCGTTCCGAAAACTTTCATCAAGAGTTAATTTTAATTGATCAATTAGTTAATTATTTTTGGTCAATTGTCGGGGACAGACAGACCGACCGACCTACCGACCACCAAGTTCACATGTAGAAGATCCTGCCAGAGCTTTAAAATGTACAAAAAGGAGAAGTTGGGATCCGAGGATTGAGGCACTATAATTTACATTAAAGAGTGGTTTTGATAACAAAGAGAATCCTCCGGCCTTGACAGGCATTTAAACTTTAAACAGAGCATCAATGTCAGAAACTCAATGGAGGTAGCGTGTCAATATCGTGCAGGAGAGCGATGAGTTGGCCTGCTTCATATGCACGCAACCATGTACAGGCGAGAATAAGAGAATTTAACGGTCGTCCGTTGAAGTATATAAACCTCGTTGATTACCGTACATCACGCTAATGGGTAAATTAAGCTTCATCGGCACGTTTTGCAGCTGAAGTTCGTTCAGTTTGAATGAAAACTATGTCCATTGGACAATAGCTCTATCTTCATTTCATGAAATACAGACCGTTATTGTGCGATTTCATTGATTGATTTAGTTTATCTGAGCCTCGTTATAAAATAACCTACAAATTGAAAAGCTTTCGTGAAAATCAACTTTAGTAGCAATATCTCCCCCCCCCCCAATAATTTGACTTTTTAATACATGGCCTAAAATGTCAACACATTTTGGGGGTATAACACACACGAAGTGTCTCGCTACGCTACTGTCTCGCTGTGACGTTATTTTGATGTCACCAGGTATGAATCTATGAAATAAGAGATTTTAGATAAAACCTGATCAAATCCCTTTAATGTATAATGTCCATACTTCGTAATTTGACAGACAACAACTTGATGGTGGAAATGTGCCTCCTCGTCACTTTGGTAACAATTACTTGTGTGTTTCTATACTTTTAGATGATTTCATGACTCAGTGCGCACGCATCTGCGTGCTTTGTGTCATACCTGCTAGTTGTCGGGGTAAATGTACTTTTCTTTAATATTTAGTCATTTACACAGGGTTTTTTTTTTATTTGTACCAGCTTAAATTCATCCCTTTTAATCATTTATTGTGGTAGCCGTTGACTGCATAAGCGTTTTAATAACGAAACGCAATTCATCTGGACTCATTCCAAAACGCAATTAATGTTTAGCAAGGAGACGAAGCGGGCAATTAGATATTGTTTCTTTGTGTATATTCTAAACTATAGATGGTAGTAGCGCAATATGTATTTGGCACAGATGAAACGATGACTTGACTGACGGGAAGACAGGGAGTAACTTTGAAAAATAATACTTGCTTAAATTTTGAAATTCTATAGACCGGTTGAGTTTAATTAACAATTTGAGCACAAAAGGTTTGATGGTACCAATCGATTGCCCGTCGGGATTTAGTCTTGAAATGGGGGTCAGGGGACCAACGTCAAATGTCAAAAATTTCGACTTTAATTAACACGTTTCGCACAAGTGCCGTTTTGGGATGCAAGCGTTGAGTTGACCCCCTGCCAAAAAAATGCTACTTAAGAATACATAACACCAGCTGAAGTTCGCTCAGTTTGAATAAAAACTGTCCACTGTCTGTGAGACTCGCCTAACGTCACACAACTTTATTTTGCGATTTTGTTTTAGTGACAAAATGTATTTGGACCATACTTTCCCAAATCCTCTTCAATTTTCTTTTTAAAATGCAGGATTTTGCAGGAACGAGTGAGCACCGTGTCATGGTCGCGTAGACAGGTCCTTGTGTTGTTCACCCCCAGCCGTGCATGAAATTTGGCCTATTATGTACTTGAAATCCTCCGCACTCATGTTCAGCGATGACACTAGCTCTGCCTGAACCCATTGATAGTGTTTGCTGGAGGTTTGTGCAGGATTGAGGCAGTGGTCACCCCTCCTAGGACCACATGTTAAAAATAGTAGCATTTTGCAGGATTGAGGTTGTCTGCTCTTTTTACATGAAGGCAGTTGAAGGATTTTGCAGGATTGGGGTTGCATCCTCGCAGAAACGTCAAGCGAGTTAGGGATAAATAACCTGAAAATAAGAGGGGGGGGGGAAACCGTTTTAGGAAAAACAAATCAATGTTGGTAGACAAATCAATGTTGGTAGACAAATAAACTGTATTATTATTCATTAATATGAGCACTTCTGTGTACGTCATTAGTTGGTTTCAGACCGGGTAAATGAACAAAACATATCCTGTTCTGAAGAGCCCTTGGACACGATCCAATGTTTATTGCTTGAATCTTCCAAAGCACACGGAACCCATGCACATTATTACCTACATCAGTATAACCTACATGGCATGGCAGGAATGGTTAATGACAGAGGCCAAAGCTACAAATAATTTAATTTAAGTGTTCACAGAGAACAAAATAATATGTACAAAAAAAACACAGATTGTCCAAAATATTTAAAAATTGCTAATGGAAAACAACACGTCATAAAAATCTAATTTAAAAAATTGTTTCTATCATTTTCTTTACAGATAAAAATGAGAAAATCGACATTTTCACCAGCAGTATATTGTTGAAAAGGAAGACCTTCGATATAGATGTAAGCAAGTACTAACGATAATTTATCAGATATCACGCGTTAAAAAGACGTTGTGCGTACATCTAACCATATTTTTTATGTGATGGTACTAAATCTATAAGTTCAAAGTTAAACTGCAGTTTCAGATGCTAACAGAACAGTCAATATCATTTTTACAAAATGAATTCATTTAAAAAAAAGAAGTCGGAAATTCCATTTTTTTTACAAATAAAAAAATCAGTTAATCAATGCAAAAATTTATAAATACACTTCGTTTCAAATTTTATACAGATATGAAACTGTGGAATTATTTAATACTGTGCTACCGTCGCACAATCAACAGAAATGGTACTGCGAATGAGAGACACTTCCAATAACGTAACACCTTTAGAATAATATCCAAATGGGCAGCTGGTATAACGTCGGGATGCTATTGAGCGTGTGTGTTACATGAAGGGGTGCTGACGTCACGACTGCGCTGTATCAACGCCAAGGCAAAGGCAATGTGCGAGGGAAAATGACAAATCTGGCACCAAGTCTGAGCAGAGGTGCGTCTGACAACTGGCGCATTATTCTTTGATATCTTTCTCGTCTGGTGTAAAGACATATAATATAAGATCATTTGCTTTTCATGAATTTTGTTTGTTTCCAATAATAACACCACTCAAAATCCAAAGAACTTAAGAATGTTCAAAACCTAGCCCGTTGAAGTTTCAGCTCAGTGGATACTACACTTTACGAGAAAAAAAGTGAAAAACCCATCATGCACAACATTTTGAACACGAAACACGATTCGTCCGTAGCACTCTTAATTTCCACAAATCGGTTAATTGACTGACCGTAAAAAAAATCACCTGATTTACCTTGACTTCTTCTAAATGACAGCAAGCCAGACAGTAATTTCACGTGGTGTTCAGTACCAGCACGAGCTTTAATCCGAGTAAGCTTTTTGATAATAATTCGGTAGGTTACTGTTGAGATAACTGCAAAAAAGATATGCCTTTAAAGCAAGCGGGTGTACCTACACGCATTCAATTACGCACATCTTCTCAGTCTATGGTTTGTTTCATTGCCGCCAACTGACGCGGTGGAGCAGCAATCCAAACAGCGTGGTGCCTCTGCAGAAGCAGCGGGGTGTGTTTCATTTATCAACTCCTCAATAATCTCCGTTTCAAATCTCTGCCTGGTCGAAATGCGATCATTTGGTTCTTGTCTTCAGCGTGCATTCAAGTAGCCTGCCAAACTGGCTAGACTCTTTCCGTCTTTATTGACACAGAATTATGTTTCGTTTGTTTTCTCTCTTTTTCCCCCCAAAAGAATTGACAGTAGTCTAATAATAAGTAGACTCGTTTTTCACCTGGAGACAGCGTTCCTCTGCCAAGAAGAGACACAGACAAGAAATGAAGAGTTTGTTTCTGCATGCAATAGTGGACGTTGATTAATAGAGGACAATAGGGTCCCCAATTCTCGAAGGTCCCCAATTTGGCGAGGTCTTCCTATATGAGAGTTCTTCCTAAAAAGTTAGAGTAAAAACAAAAGAGGGACAAATAGGGAGTCCCCGATTGCAAGCAAATACAAACGCTTGTCAAAATTTGAACCGATTTCCATTGTTCACTTCCGGCCTTACTTCCTATTCATATCGATTAATTTGCTCATAAATACAGCCTAAGAACGTGCCTAAAATCACAGCTATAGATCTGTCCACTGTTCCTCAAGTGTCATCATTCACCAATTTATAATATAAATTACTCTCTATATTCCAAACACAGCTGTTTTGCATTTAGACCATATTTCCCCAAACTGTTCCGGTGAAATCACGATCTCGCAACCTTCCAATCGATTTTCGTGTCTTCATTCCCAACACTACCGAATCTTTGCGTAACTCAAGTTTCCCTGCAGTTGAAATAAATGACGCCTTCCCCTTCAACATAGCATCATCACTGAGCGATTACCGACATAATACATCATCGAGTAAATAACCAAATTCACTCACGCAAACATATCCGGGGACATACGATCCTGACATGCCATCCTTGCAAACGGCTTCTGCTCAAAATATTTACTTTTCAGAAATCATAAAATGAAAAGGTAGCGCTAGATTTTGTTAAACCCTTATTCGTTACTGGGCAATCTCGCCACGAACACCTGCATGCGGATTTGACAATCAAAACAAAAGGGGTTGGGTTTTATTTTTGATGAGACTTTCATCAAGGGGTGCTAAAATCGCGTCCACATTCTAGAATAACAATAACGTTATACTGTAAAAATACCAATCTTTTTCTGTACATGTTTGAATAGATATTTGAAGGTGTCTTACGGGAATATAAATCACGGTTTTAGAAGCCCAGCGATACAATGTTCACCCTCGGGTTCGATTTTGAAGAGAGCTGTGAAAATCACACCAAAAGTTTTGTAGCTGCTGAAAGTATAATAAATTATACAAAAGAATGCCCAACAAATACCTGTACTTCGAAAGGTAACTATATTACACTGCAATACTAGACCACTGCAAGAAGTCATTAGGCAGAAGACAACGGCAACACTGAACTAAAAATAAATTAAAAACTTCGGTCTTTATCACACTTTTGACATGACAAAACGTCTGCACTAACTTGAGCCTACTTTTTTTTACATTCATCCCTCAAAGAACTGTAAAATCTTAAATATTTTGGGGAAGTGTGTACTTTGACAGTCAGTTTCGGATTTTGAAAACTGCCAAATTCTCAAACCTTTCCAACACTCCTTTCATGCTTATTTGGTTTGCTTTGCTACGATACCTCCATTCAAATACAATGATCTTTGAAGTGTAAATGAAAGTTGGATCCGGCAGATGATTCACTGATGCATAACTCAAAATGATCTCTACATTCAAGCTATCCACTGATCCAATAGAGACAATAGTACATTTTTTTTATACCCGGCATGATATGTGACAGAGAGGTATCTCCCTATACTCTATAACACCCTAGACTATTGTTACCTAACACATCCCCCCTAGATACCTCAAAAGAATTCCTGAGATTCTGGTAACACAATGACCAACACAAAAGAGGGGGGGGGGGGTCCCTCTATCACATATCATGCTGCATATGACTTTTTCTGACATACATTATTGTACTTGTGATTTTTATTACAGTGTACAATGTGCTGATTTTTGCAGACATAGAACAGTGGATGTGCCTGCTTGTAGTTAACTGTATCTTCGCTGCCTGATACACGGATCCATTGAAGATACCAAGTACTCTTTTCAACTACCGGTGCTGGAAGTTTTCTTTTCCAGTACCATCCATGTCCAGCTTATGCAATATTGTGGATATGACTATTGTAGTTATGACTTCTGGTCTTCGCCTTGCATCATTCTTCAGCCACTCACCCACTAAACACAAAGTACTTTTTTTCAAGTACCGGATAAAGTACACTCCGCCATAGTTTATACCAATAATCTTCCCATCCATACAGCATCCATAGATGAGTAATGCAGTCAACCAGACAAGCAATCCTCCGGCTTGGTATTTGTAGGCTCACAGGTCCCTCGCCCGCAGAGACAAAAATGCGTCATCGGCTGGAGACAATTTGGCATGATGCACTGTAAAGGAAAATAAACAAATCTTCCAGGGTCAAAAATATTAACTAACACTGGGCCAGAGATATATCATACGGACAATTTATCTTCATAACAAATGTCAAGGAAGACACCAGGGTTGATTGGTTCTCGCTGCTGTCGGGAGGTTTCATCTTGAAGATGAAGGAATGACGCCGGATGTGCAATGCTGATGAGTTGACAATGACATGGGTGGTGACAACTATGGTGACAATAATGGCAAAACCAAATTTTCAAAAACAAATGAAGGAATGACACAGGATGTGCAATACTGATGAGTTGACAATGATATGGACAGTGACATCAATGGTGACAACTATAGCCACACTATTGGTAACAACAAACAAAGGAATGACACAGGATGTGAAATAATTATGAGTTGACAATGACATGCATTGTGACAAGTATGACGACAACTGAACCTAAAATCTGTCACAATCCAACATCTAAACGACTGAAGTTTTGTTGGATTTCGAGAACTTCACAGCTATTACTTAGTACATGATGTCCAAGTTGTGTTGATGTGAAGCATTTGCCACTGGTTTTAAGAGAATTGTTGGATATTGGGGGAATCAGGAAGCTTTGTAGTGAAAATGCCCATGGAAGGTACAGAGTAAATTTATGAGGAAACTTCTCCATAGATCTTATGCATAACAGTTATCTCAGAGGATGTTCTTTATTTTAATTCAGTTACGAAAAATGCACACAAAGATTACTCATACCTTTCCAAGCGATACAAACCTTTGCCCTCTAACTCCGCCTTAACGCATCAGGTCTATATATCAACACCACTTAGCACTCACCGATCCCTTCAAAACTGTCAGAGCCAGCTTAAGTATAATTCTAAGTAGCTTTAGTTTATTGAAAAGTATACCTACCTCTTTTTCTGGGTGGAGATAAGCTCTTAGGCGTCCGATTTGTGTATTCTCTAGTTGGTTTTCTATCCTTTATGTCCATCTCTGGACTTCTCTTCCTCGAGGACAGACTAGAAATTGGCGGAGACATTCGATTGGCTTTGTAGCTGTGTACAAGTGGACTTTTCCCTGGCGATTGGAATACAGCAGACTGCTTGGCTTCCTCCAACTGTTGCTGTAACAGGGTGACGGTGCCTTTGTACCTGTCGATTTATCAGATCATCCTGTCAAGTTAACATTGCAACGATCCAGGATTTGGGGAAAGGGGACCAAATATTTGTGTTTTGCTTTATGGACCTCAGTAATTGTAGGCTCAGTCTACATTATACATTAGACACATGGACAAGGGCGGATCCAGGACACATTTTTTGGGGGGGGGGGGGGCCAAAAATATTTTGTTCTCCCCAAAAATTGATTCAGACATTTACAGCGTGGGGTCCAGAAACTTTGTGGATTCCAGATGCTCTGTGATGTGATCTGAGCCAATTTCTGACCACTTTAAAGGGAATGTACATCATTGGCTTTTGCTGTAATTTTCAAAAATGAACTATTTGAGGGGTTAATATAATAGATCAAATATTGTTACACTGACATGTTTGAAGTTTTGTGTTTGAAAATGCTGGAAAACCAAGAAAAACAAAAATGTTCAAGTAGTCTGGTTCCCTGACTCCACTAAAGATGAAATGGATCAATGTATTTATTTAATTGTAAGGTAAGGGCACCAGTCTAGCTGGCCTGCACCCGTTCATGAACATGTAACCAATAGCAAAAAAATTTGGACTGAAAAAAATGGTAAATTTCGAGCAGTAGTTGAAAATAGTTAGGTTTTTCCAAGGGTGGTCGGCCACCACCATTGGAAATGTATACAAAAATACCATTTTCTTGAAAATGACTTCACACCAGGTGCCATTATTTTACAGGATGCTTTAGACTGTCATTTACCAACATCCTAGTAAGGTATTTTGTAAAAACTTAGTAGTTTTATTTTTCGATGTTTGCAAATGTATTTTCCCTTTAACACAATTTTTTTAAGCAAAAATATGGCGGTATACGCATTGGCTGCCTTTTTTTTGCGACGTCACTCTTTGGGGGGTGGGGGCCATGGCCCCCATTGGCACCCCTGGATCCGCCGATTTGCATGTATATATATGCAAGAATGTTTTTTTTTTTTGGACAAATACTTTTGTACTCCCTCAAAAATGTGACAAATGGAGGGAAGGGGTTGACTCCTTAAAGCCCCCCCCCCCTTCACTCTGCACACTTCACTTGTGATATGAACATGGAAAATTCCCACAGAGTAATTAGTTTGTTTTTTAAAAATGCATTTTTCATAAAAAATAATGTCATGAAATCTCTAGAAGGATATATTTTGGTAACTTGTGTTACGGTAAATCACGTAACAGTTATGTCCACCAATCTTTGGTACACGTTTAAACATTTAAGAAACTAATTATCAAACAACAAAAACCTCTTTTGGCACAGTATATGAGCCTTTTTTTTCATCCTCAAAAACAAAAACCCACGATAACACTTGCTTTTTGCATGTAAAAACAAGGCGCCAAAATGACCACCTCAAATTCATAAATTTAGGCGAAATACCTTTTTTGGGGGACAACAAATACACATAACCATGTTCCATCTCAGTGGCACATCATTCAAATGAAAGGTCTTGTTTTCCCCTTTACTTTGATACCACATATGAGGTCATGGTGCTGGTAATTTTGAAGATTGTATGCATTTTCCATTTTCAGCCATGTTCAGATTCTCATGGAATTGCCCATATTACTTATAGACAGCTGTCATCTGACTTCTGTCTGGCACATGTTTGTGTTGAGTGGTATTTTCTGCTTTGTACAATGTAGCAGCTCAATGAACTTGACTGACAATTCAAAATTTCCTAACTTCAATCAGTTTGAGTGGTTAACCTTCTGCATAATTCAAAATCACACACACCCAAAAAAGATTCAGTTATCAGACAATATCATGGCCCTACAAAAGACATGGACTACTAATTTCGCTTCTGAAACTGGCTGAGTGAATTGCACAAATCAGACACTGAGCTCACCTATTGTATCTGTCGTTAATTCGGTCACGTTCCTCCTGCAGATCCTGACAAGAAAATGACAAATAATATAGGAAGTGATTTGCCACAGTTGGAGGCCAATCAAATTGGGTTGGGCCCATGTGGCATTAAAATAGAACAGGTATTACATGTAGATAGCTGCGCTCATTTTTTTTGAAAAAGTTGATAAACTACCTTAAAGGGAATATACACATTTGCTTTTGCTGTGCTTGTGCTGTAATTTTCAGAAATGGATGGATTTAGGGGTTACTATTTTATAGCAAATATTGTTACACTGACTTGTTTGAAGTTTTGTGTTCGCTACCGGTAGATGCTGAAAAACAATCATGCTTTTGTAGTCTGGTTCTCTGACCCCACTTAAGATGAAACAGAGCAATTTATAGACGTCGGGAATTGTAAGGTCTGGAAACCAGTCTAGCAGGCTTGTACCCGTTCATAGGAGTGTAATCGATTGCAAACAAAATGCAGACTGACTAAATATGGTAAATTGGGGACAGTATTTGAAAAAGCCATCATTGGAAACTGATACAAAAATACCACTTTTCTTGAAAATGTCAGCACACCAGGTGCCATGAGTTTACAGGATACTTTAGACTGTCATTCACTAACAGTCCAGTAAGGCACTTCATAATAATTTGGTAGTGTTGTTTTTTTTTATCTTTGCAAATGTTGTATATTCCCTTTCACACACACAAAAAGTTGAAGAGCCTATCACTTTTCTGAAACAAATGGTTTGTATTTTCCGAGAAGTATACTTATCATTCGTAGCTTTCCTGGGGTTTTGATGTCAACAGATTTTTTTTCATTGAAACTAGTGAATTCAAAAGCAGCAGGATATTTTAACTTAAGATGGTTACACTTTATAATGTCGAACATTCACTCAATAAAAATTCAAGCTGAGTAATCCAGTGGCCGCACTTCATGACAGGTGATAACAACAGCTTACAGCAATGTGACCGTACATTTTCAATTGGGGAAAGTAATGCAATTCACTGCCTGTACTGTGCGATGCCCGGGCTAAATTTCCGCTCCGACACTGCGCGCTCCCGCGCAACACACACAAGGAGCTTTAAAAAGGTCAGACCGTACTAAGTGAGACAGGGATTGCTCTGAAATTTCAGCTGGGCATCTCTTTACTCCTGCTTCGACTCTTGATACCTGGGTTGGATGAGGGCTGGATTCTTATAAGGACTGTTGACTACACCGCATGTAGCAATAAGCAAGGACTGTCAAGAACTCAGCCGCGGCGTGGGTTGGGACTGGGTGCATTCTTCAATCATATACAAGTACCTTGAGTTTTTTATAGTCCTGTGCGGGCGAGTCTCTCGGTGGGGTGGCCGGCTCAGGAATGAGTTCAAGGCTCCGACGTAGGCTTCTGACATTCTGAAATGAATGTTAAGCATTTCTCTGATTATTCATGGTGTTGTTTTTCTTTAGCTGATTGATTGAATCAATTGGAATCAATAAAAACCCTTGTTGGGTGAAGGCTGTTTCAAATTTGAAATGTTATTCAGACATAATCCATTTGGGAATACTCCTATTTAAGTTTAATAATGACATCAAATTAAACTTCAAGTGGAATATATATCCCCTTTCCATAACAAAATCTTTGTTTACAAGGGACTGCTACTTCTTTCATTATGTTTTTTTGTTTTAAAACCTGGTCAATATTGCATTTTCATTTTGTTTCAGAACAGTTTTTCTCTGTACGAGTCTTCTGTGATGTCATGTAGGCTCCTTTGTGCTGAATGGAATTAATTCCACTATCGGTAAGAAATCAGAATTGAAAAGAATCTTGCTGTGATTGGATTTTGAAGAAGCAAGCTACAGAATCATAGCAAATCAACTGACTCCCATGGTGAATTGAGCATTGAGAACTGAGGTAAATTCAAGGTTGTACTACTAAATCCTCTTATTCAGTTCAATAGCATACAGTGTGCCCTCAACAACTAGTTTTGGTTATCTCCGGCAAATTTTTCAATTTGCGGCAATGGTAATTTGCTGCGGTGGATGACGGACAAATACCCAAACTACAACTGATGACGTATGTAAAACGTGACGTGATCAGCCCATACAACTTGCCCATGAAATCATGAGTTTGACTTTGGTAATACAGGATTTCTGTCATTTGAAGTCAGACAAATGTCGTAGCTGAAGCGACCGTTGGTACATTACAGTGAAGGGACAGTGCCCATATCATACACAGCCATAGTCGGAATTAAAGGCTCAACCTCTTTTCTATCTCTCGCTTTCAGGCTAAAAGGAGCAGTAAGAGCATTGCTTCAGCAACGAGGTATTACTGCTGCCATGTCTGCTACAGGAATATTCCTTGTAGACTTCTGCAAAGACCTTGAGAAAATACTCAGAGTGCATAGCAGAGCGCTGTTATCTTGCTGAAAGCTAACTTAAGATCCAAATATAGTTTACATTTACCTTTACATGTTATCTTGCTGAAAGCTAACTTAAGATCCAAATATAGTTTACAATTACCTTTATACAAATATAATAATACTTAAGAATTCTGAAGTTATTCAGACTATTGTTCCTGCACTCAGAACTACTTCTCATAACAAGTTGACGATTTAGTGGCGCACACATGTACAACATGTATTGCAGTGTGGCGATATTGGAGGGGCAAATACAGCCCCTCAAACACTTCCACTCACCCTAACCCTCCCTTTCCCCTCACACAAAAATAATTTTAAAAAATTAAAAAAAATTTGAAAATTTAAAGACTTTAAAAATCTGATCCCCCAACAACTTGAGGATTTTGTTGTGCTTTTTTTTTGGAAACTCTTTCTAAATCATTCCCAGCCTTTTAAAAAGCTTTCCCCAAATTTGCATAGAAAAACATTCAACCCCCCCCCCCCCCAGTATTCAAATAATCATTTCAAGTTTTTTTTCTTCAGCCCAAACCCTGATTATCAACCTTACCATTTTTTTTGATTTTTTTTTTTGGGGGGGGGAGGTTTAACAATGCTCAGTTGGTACAACCCATAGCATAACAAACTTGATTACAGCTACACCATGGAAATTTGAGTTTGTGATAGTTGGCTAGGCTGTACTGTATCAAGTCTTAAGAAAGCATTAGGACACTATCACGAGACTGCAACCAGTGAGTATAAACTGTGACAGTCTACAAGCTTTTCAAATTGACATCAAAACCATCTTTATAAAGACATCGTTTTTAGATCTCAGAAACAATATCTAAACTTCCTTTCTTTGTACAGACAAAGATTTTTCTCCAGTCGCAAGCTGGATCACTGCTCCAGCTTATTAGGCTGTGATACTTGCCAGAGCTAACTGTATTTACATTTTGCTCTGAAGTCATAAGGCCAAAAAAAAAGTCTCCGGTTTCTGGTATGGAGCTTGCCCAAAAATTGGTGCGGCGACGCGGCTTTTTTTTTTTTTTTTACCTGTTTTTTTTGCTTCAAATGTCGGCTGATGACTGCAAATGGTGCCCGACTAAACTTAGTGCAAATATATGGGAGTCCAGAGAGGCCACTAAAGCTTATTCTCGATCATAACCCCATCTAAAAACACGTTCAAATTGTGCAGCAGCAGGATTCCAGTCAAACCAGTGAGTTTGGCGGTTTTGAGAAATCATCTTTTATTGAAAAACAAACTTTTTCATTTTGCCGACGCGCATGGCTACGGCGACGTGACGTGCGCGCATACCAGAAACACTCGATTACAAGACTGCTGCTATACTGTCACAAGGTTTGATGTTAACAACTCAGATTAAACTTGACCACTATAACTTATGAAAAGAAATGAATATGAAGTCATGTAGTTCAGCAAGGCTGTATGCTGAGCTCTTATTTTTGTTTGTTCTACAGTCATATATGAAAGATACCAGACTGCAACTGTTTAAGTCATAATATTGACATCAATACCAGTGAAGACATCTTTCTAGTAACAAGCTGGATTACCGCTACACACAGCATATGAAAAGAAATGAAATGAAGCTGTGAATAGTTTGGAAGGGCTGTCTGGTCATAAAGACCTGCTGGCCTGGATCTAGGGCAGTAACAGCTGCTGCACGAAGAGTCACGTCTTGTCTTTGGCAGGCCACTCCAGTGGCGAACCTAGAATTTCCCCACCCTGGGGGATCAGGCCATTTAATATAAAAGGCTCTGTATCATTCCAATTTATACTTTTAATACTGTTCTCACTTTAACTGGGTTTTTTTTTTTACAGGAAGTAGTATATTGTTTCTAGCTTGTTGTTTTGAGTCAATAATGAACTCTTCATTTTTTTCTCCATTGAAAAAGACAAACTTATTTTCTGTTTTAACTATGTAGGCATTCATACCAGTAAGTACAACTGATCCGTTTTGCATTTTAATTTTTAAAAAAATATTTTTTAACAACAAATGTTTTAATAATTATGATTTGCATTATGAAGTGCAAATGTGATTGAAATGATTTTCAAAGAAGCCTGGTATAAAATGAAAAAAAAATAGAGTGAGGGACTTTCTTCCTTTCATTGATCTAGGTAATTCTTTTCTAGTTGACTGGTTTTAGACAATATGAATCATCTTTTTAATTGATTTTTAATTAAAATGATTACTTAAATAAAAGTGCAAAGTGATTGACAGGAGTTTCAGGTAAGGCTTGTATGAAATGAAAACCTACAACAGAGTGAGTCATTTTAATACTGTCATTTAAAGGTTTTATCTGTCAGGTTTTGACTTTAAAGATCTGTTCCCTGTGGTAATTTCGAATTTCACATCGAAAAATATATATATATTTTTTCCCATTGCTAGTTATTCACTTTTGAATGAGACATTGAATGAAAATAAAATTCACAGACGTTTAGTTATTGAATTATTTCTTCACAAACTTCAAATTATTGGCTGCCAGACAATAAATCAGATTTCGCAGGGCAGGTTATTGGTGCACAAAATGAAAGCTCTTTTTAAGAGAGTTGTAGACTCCCAAATTGGAAAATTGTTTTGAACAAAAAATCCATTTTTTGAAGAGCACGGGGTATGCATCTTTAAAGCTATAAATTCTCTTCATCTAATCTGAAATGCGTCCTCCACTGAAGTGCACCTTTCATACTACTTTCATTCATATGTTGAAAGGACAGACACTAATTGACGCTGGTGACGTCATCAATGATCATGCATAGTCCCTGTCACTTGATGGATCTATGGAACTTAACAGTTTTCAAATTGTCAATCCATTGCATGACTTCATGGCCTTTTGTCCAACATCTGCAAGATTTTTTCCTTCAATAAGTTTCTATATTTCCAAAGACAGATGATAAATGGCAATATAATTGATATCTCAAATCATTTTTTAGGAGTATGAGATACATATCTCTGGGTCTATGGAATGCTTTATCACTCTACTTGTATTCTGACAACATGCACATGTAATCATTTACCATATGTGTAACTGGAAAACATGAATCCATCTGTGGCAGTGATCAATTTATTTCTTGAACATACACGCCACAATAATTAATAACCCAATCACCAGAAACGGATCGTGTGTGTTCAGCAGATTTGGCGTCAGACATAAAAAATATAAAACGTCAGAGATTGCAGATTAAGAACTGAAGTGCAAGTGTTGGCCTATTTTTTTGCGGCTGAGAGTGCAAGAGGCCATATGTGTGTCAAAATTACGTAGATACAAAGTCCAACATGAACATGTAAATTAGTAATAACCTGTCAAAGCAACGTGACAGAATTCCTTCAGTTCAGAGCCGGTGGGTGAAAGTACACGAACGGCAAGGCACGAAAATGAAAAATTGCTTCAACGTGAAGGGGTGTTTGAGAGATTGTGGAATTCTGAATTCAAAGCATTTAGAAGTGGATGAATGCATACTGGGGGACACTTCACGTGTGGAATCTCTGCCGGATTTCTGCTTACTTGAAATATGCTTTTTGGAATTTGCCTGTAAGACTGTAAAAAAAAACCACCAAAATATTCAAGAAAATCTCCCAAACAGCATTTTGTTATGTTTCAACAGCAACAAATTCTGGTTATGCAAAACATTCAATCTTTTGGTCGGTATTTTCAGGTGTCAGTAAAGCTCCGAAGTTGAATATGTACAATGTACATTGTGGTTGAGTTTTAGGTTCAACAAAATTATGCAGGAATAAACGATTTCTATATATTTGATGTCATAAATCCAGAGTAATGAACAGAAAAATTATGTGTCTCGTAAATTTTTTTAACAATCATCCTTCTAGTACGGCAGATACTGGTACTGTAGGTGATTGTATTGTGCCTGTGATGATACAAGAATTGAATTTGGCACACAGTCGAGTCAGAGTATGTCATGAGAAAGATATTTGGCTGTAGGGCCATCGCAGATTTGTCATTTGAAAAAATATAGGTAGAATAGCAAGCAATGGCCGCCAGTTTTCAAAATTTTGAAAATTGCTTGTTATTCTATCTATATGTGTTCAAAGGACAAATCTGCGATGGCCCTACAGCCAAATATCATTCTCATTACATACATGTACTCTGACTGTGTGCCAAATTCCATGCTTGTATCATCAAAGGCACAATTCTCCCAAATTTTTCCCCTATCTGCCCCACTGTTATATTCCCAGACTAGCTTTTCCTACTCCTATATACAGTTTTTTTCTTGGTAAAAGATATATTTAGTAGTCTTAAAAGACATTACTAAGGGTGGTGCTCCCTCAACACTGACTGAAAAAAATGAGAATGCCCCCCCCCCCCCCACACTACAAAATGATGCACCACAGTGGAAACGTATGTGCCAATTGGATCACAATGATCAAATGGATGATAATGACAACTTCCCCCAGCCTTATGAAAAATGCCTTAATGCTGTCTATACAACCATGGTGAGGCTGCTGGTGGTTTAAAAATGGAGGGGGGGGGGGATAAGATGTCTGTTTTCTAGACCTAAATGATAATTGATAACTTGCAATCTCAAAAGAATGTGTCTCACTTTCTGACATCATCTTATATTGCATCTGGTTTGGCCTGCTTCCTACGGTACATGTAGAACTACAAAATACATGTATCTCTACACATTGAATGAATGCAATTCTTACGAGACTCGGCCATCCTGATTAACGTGATTATTTGGACCACTCATTGGTTCAACATCCTAGCTCTGCTTCTCCCTTGACTGCACCGATGCCTCTGTAGACAGTGAAGCGGTTTTTCATTAAAACTGTTGTTATCATAGCTGCTTTGTGCATCTCCATATGACAAACTGCAGTCTTAACTTTACCTTTTACAAAAGGTACTTAAATGTTGCGTAGGCATAAAATTTAATATTAGATTGTACTCTTCACTGACTTTAGTTGACAGTAAAAACACACACAGTTTGCCCAATGTAAAATTAAATTCATAAGTCAGCAATTGCAATTAACTAATCCTACATGTTTATCAGATTCATGCAAACCAGCAAATCGACCACTGAAAGGTCTGCAGTTGAGTAGTTAAGACATCTACACCAGTAAGGAGCTGGTTGTGGGTTCGAGTCCCAACTGACCAGCCCTGTAAATTGGTGTCTTGCAAGCTTTCAATCAGCACTAAGAGTAGACTAGTGTCTTTATAATATTAAAAAACAAAACTATCAGAAAACAAAACTACCAATTATTATGAATTATCTTACTCGACTGTTAGTGAATAATAGTCTCAAGCATCCTGTAAAATCATCCCGTAAAACCTGATGTGCTGTCATTTTCAAGAACAGTGGAATTTTTGTACCATCGTTGGAAATTTAAATTTTTTTTCAAATACTGCTTCCAAATTACCAAATTCAGTTTGTCCACGTTTTGTTTGCAATCGGTTACACATCTGTGAACGGGTGCAAGCTGGTTAGCCTGGTTTCCAACGTCTATAAATTGCTCTGTTTTATCTGAAGTGGGGTCAGGGAAGCAGACTTTAAAAAACAGCATTTTTTTTCTTAGATTTTTCCAGCATCTATTCACTCAAAACTTTGAACATGTCAGTATTTATAATAATATTTGCTATGAAATACTAACCCCAAATCCATCCATTTCTGAAAACTACAGCAAAAGTAAATGTTTTATATTCCCAGCAACATCTAGAATTTGCTTGCATGCACGCTCCATTATTTTATGCATTTTATCCTTGCTTACCCAAATTCAGCATGGAGGGTATTAGAACCAGTAATCAGGCTTAGTGCTTGTAATAAGGTTGATTGTACTTGTGCCTGTAATTAGCAAATTACTCTCGCAAGGATTAACAATGATTTGTTCTCGATTTATAAGTCTCCCATTTAAATGAATAATGACTCAGTCAGTGGGCATGGTAGACAACGTGGAATCAGTTGGTACTCAGACATTCATTCATCACTGGTAATCTGCAATTAGTGGTCTACAGGGAGGGAGTTTGCACTTTCAGTAGAGTTTGCCACTAGCTGGGAGGGACTGAGTGTCACATTTAATCACATTAATAAATAAGCCCCAATAAATAAGTACCCTGCCTAAAGAAAACAAATCAAAAGTATATATGTACCCATTGACATTTAATATTAAAAAAAAACCATGGGCAGTTAAGACATTGATTAAGAATCAAACACGACTTGAGATGTAAATGAACAGTTAAGAAAGTGCAATACCAGTTACAATCAAATTACATTTTTTTAAAGCTGTTTTGGGATTTATTCAAGTTGAAGGTTTATGGCTAGTTTCATATGTGTATGTAGCTCGTGGTGTTCGTGTTTTCAGTATCGAAATGGGGGGGGGGGGACCTAGATTCTTTTAACAGGCATTGGTGGTGTTGTACAGTATGCTTAAAATGTAACCAAAGGGTTCTTTTGTGTTACTTCTGAGGCTTAAAGTTGATCAAACTTAACAATTTTGTTTTTTAGCTCACTTACCGTACATGTTAATAACAATTGTTTAATTTAAGACTTTAAATCTCGCAGCCCTAGAACTTTCCCCGATTTTCTGAAATCACTATGCGCTTTTACAGTATATAATTTTTTAAATTTTTTTATTAATGGTTTATTTATTTATTCAATCATACAAAAAAAGAGACATTGCAGCCAGAGGCTGAATTGCGCCTCCCCTCACAAAATCACAATATTAAAGGGAATATACATCATTTGCTTTTGCTGTAATTTTCAGAAATGGATGGAATTGGGGGGTTGGAAATATATAGCAAATATAGTTACACTGACTTTTTTGAGGTTTTGGGTTCGAAAATGCTATAAAAACCAAGAAAAACGATCATTTTCCTGTAGTCTGGTTCCCTGACTCCATATAAGAAGAAACAGAGCAGTTTACATACATTGGGGAATTGTAAGGTCAGGGAACCAGTCTAGCTGGCTCGTACCCGTTCATAGGTTTGTAATCGATTGCAAACAAGTGCGATGGTCAATTGGGGCCAGTATTTGAAAAAAAGCCAGTTGTTTCCAACGCTGATCGGCCGATCAGCGTTGGAAATTGATACAAAAATAGCACTTTTCTTGAAAATGACAGTATACCAGGTGCCATGATTTTACAGGATGCTTTACACTGTCATTCACTAACAGTCCAGCAAGGTATTTCGAAATGATTTGGTAGTTTTATTTTTTGATGTTTGCAAATGTTGTATTTTCCCTTTAATTAAAAACCATATCATTTAAAAACAATGTAATTAACAAAAAATAACATTAAGGTCACACACGTAAACACGCAAGCTTACAATTCAAAAACATGACATGCAAAGGACAAGAAAAATGGAATTACAGTTATTACAATGACAGTTAAACATTTGGGACCGAGCACGCACAAAGACTGAATAACTGGTTGGCAAGAAAGAAAAAAAAACTGCCAAGTATTTATAAAAACAAAAACTACTGATTGTTTAAAATTGAGGTTAAAAATGGGATGGGACTGTTTTTATACCGATTGGTTCTGCATCTGATACTGGAAAGTTTATGGGAATTTCTGAGGTTATTATCTCTATACGAAGGTAGCCAATCTCTATGAACATGGGAATGTAAGACACTACTACCAAAATTCCAACAAAGCAATTCTAGCCTTTCAGACATAGGAGGGATGTGATGAACTTGACAAATATGCTGATAAGAGTGATTCCTACAATACTCAGGGAAAATTATGCGGAAAGCTTTCCTTTGCAATTTTTCCAGGCAATATCCAATCAAGTGAATGAATACCAATCAATTGAATAATACAATTCAAATGAACATTTATATCAGCTGACATGCGTGCAACAGGCATTTTTTTTCTAAAAAACAAAATAATAATAATAATTGGTGAAGTCTCCAGTGTATATGCACACAAATGAACAAGCACCTGGTGGGGTTTGAAGCCACAGAGCGAGTTAGAGCCTCTCTAACTTAATAGAGCTGAACATTTCATCGTGCCAGGCACGGCACGCAAAAAATCTGAATTTGATCTTTTGACCCATTTTTCGCCCTTACGACCTTCTTCCAGGCACCCAACGATTTGTTCTTATCTGTCGGTCTGTCTGTCAGTCAAATGCTTTTTGATGCTTATAACGAGTTCGCGGCAGAGGATTTTTGTGTGTGCAAATTTCAACATTTTTGGCAAAAATGAACCTGGCGCGAAGTGGTTAAGGTGCAGGACATATAACAAAACATGTGTGAGTACATTACTGTGAAGTTGAGCTTGCATGTAATGTTATTTTGTTTCACAAATTCCAAAAGTCACCATGCACAAAATAATGATCAAGGGTTGTGACCAGACAGAGGGCAGCTCCCCAGCTAGCTCATTTCCAATTAATGAACCCAACGGGGCTTCTGTGGAGCTAGTGATAACATCTAAAATGTGCTCATGTTCTGTACTACATAGGTTTTGGTGCTTAGCGGCTGTACGAAATTGGCCCATGGTTCAATTTCAAAAGCCATTTTGCAAAGCCTTGGTTCATTCTTAATATTGTGGCTATGCAGGGATGGATCCAAGTTTGGCTCAAGAGAGGGGTTTAGCTGTCAGGGTGGGGGTGGGGGGGGGGGGGTTGGCTTAATGGGCACGTGTAATTTCTACTGCGTGATTTTCCTCTTTTTTTTTTGCGGCCCGAAGGGGTTAAAACCCCCCTGGCCCCCTTCACCCCCTGCAGATCCACCACTTCATATTCCATCCCATCATCCAAATGATGAGTTCGGCCAAGGCAAGAAAGTGCATTCATGATGAGACTGACAAGCTAGAGGTACGTACCGTCTCAATATGATGCTCCAGTTGATCCACCTGCTTCTCTAACGACATCACTGCTACGTCCTTTTGCATCTTGCTTTCCATCAAATCTGCAGGCGACGCAAATGAAAATACAAATACCACATAAGCATTTGGTGATGAGCACACAAAACATGAGGGACATGGGATAAATTTGTGGAGCCGAGCAACAATTCAGCTGAGAAGTTGTCACAACCAATATATTCTTTGCAATTCTTTTTATTCTTTGCATACATCTTGTATTTCTGTGCTGTAAGCAGGTTCGTGGCATGCCCAACTACATAAAGCAGAAACCCTGCTCAGCAAGTAGACTTGCTTTAAAAACTAAAACAAAGTTGTTAAAATCTGTCAAATTTGTCAAGTAAATTATTAATCCTACATGTATTAATTGAAAATCTATAATGTTTGGAAAATCTGTGAGTTTAGCAGGTGTAGAAGATTAGTTCGTGTCACTGCAAAATGATAGTCACTCAAAGTTTACAATGGAAAGATTTTTCGACGCTAGCAAAATGAAAACATGTTAGAGAAGCTATAGTCTGTCCAAGAAATGTCGTGAAGAAGTTTCTAATTGAAAATATGACTTTCTTCACCAATTCTGATCTAGTCCTCAACCGATTAGGTTCTAGGGAAAAAAACCTTCACAAACGGTGTTCACAACAACAAAATGTTCTGAGTTCTCAATTGAGGCTCACTACCAGTAGCTCCCACCGCATGCCTCTACCCCTTAGCATTGTTGTGCCATACCCAGCATAGACAAGGGCGTAGTTAAATCTGAGGAGGGGGGGGGGGACCACCAGGGGGATGACCCATTCGATCATCCCCCACCAAAAAAAAAATTGTGGTGAGAAACAAAAAATGCCAATTAGAAGGTTATTATTTTAACTTTCCAAGTACCTGGTTTTGATGTCTTGTAAGAGTGCCAGTATGAATAAGATTTACATTTGTATCATAAACGACCCCTAGTGCCCCCCTTTCAAATTTCCACGACCAGTCAATTTTAGGATTTTGGTACCCCCATCCCCTCCCCCCCCCCCCAATCGCCGGCACGGATTTACGCCACTACGTATGGACCTGCTGCTTTCTATACAGTACAGGCATATGATGTGGATGTAAACTCTTCCAAATGGTGAGCTGTGTGCCTTCTACACTTACCTAAATTGTTAACCTGTTAAACCATCACAATGGATTAACCAAACGATGTATACATTACCACATGGGTTGTACCATTCCAATCCAGTTTATTGACTGTTTTTTTCAAGGGGAACTTCTCCTACTCCAGATGGTTTACCACACGCTTTTACCTTCTGCAAATGGTGTACCACTGGGTACAACATTATAGCAGCATACAAATGTGTACCTTGAGTAATGTGTTGTACTTTAAGCAATTAACGGGAGGTTAAGATGTAACTTGTGTCGCAGCTGGTATAGCATGTGTTAACATTTTCTGTAAATGGTACATCACTTGCTAAGCATCTCTCTCCAAGCAAGTGAACACCTGTGGTAGGCCATATGGTAACCTTCTACAGATCCCAATGGTACATGTATACTACATATAAAGGAACTGTATAGAACCTTTGCATACAGCAGCCATCTTGGAAGTTTCTTTTTTAATTCAGTGACAATGAATAAACAAAAGGTCTACTAAGGTGTATCCCCATGCAACAATAGCACCGCCCCTCCACGATGGCCGTCATGCAGAGTGTCTATGGCAGTTTTGTAGTCCAGTCCACCACAAGTCCCCAGACCCTGCAAGTCCATCACGAGTCTTTCGTTCAAATGAATTGTAACAATCCCATTCCTTTGTCATTGTTCATTCTGACTTGTGACTGGACTTGCGAAGGGCATGTAGCTGGACTTGTGACTGGACTTGGGACTGGACTTATGAAAGGACTTGTGACTGGACTTGTGACAGGACTTGTGACTGGACTTGTGACTGGACTTATGAAAGGACATGTGACTGGACTTGTGACTGGACTTGTGACTGGACTTGTGACTGGACTTGTGACTGGACTTGTGACTGGACTTGTGACTGGACTTGTGACTGGACTTGTGACTGGACTTGTGACTGGACTTGTGACTGGACTTGTGACTGGACTTGTGACTGAACTTGTGACTGGACTTGTGACTGGACTTGTGAAAGGACTTGTGACTGGACTTGTGACTGGACTTGTGACTGGACTTGTGACTGGACTTGTGAAAGGACTTGTGACTGGACTCGACTACATCACTAGTCTATGGGCCTGTGGCCAAGTCACAACAGCCAAAAAAGGACACAATTAATAACCACACTGGGCTTTGAGTGTAAATACTGCGAACTATGTGCTGCCATTCCTCCATGGAGCTGCCAAGTTTAAGAAGAAACCTAGTGGTGTCTTCACATTAGAGGACTGGACATTATTGGGAGTGCACAACTCAAATGGCACCAGTGCTAAAGTGCAGCGTTGTAGAAGGGTCTACAACACTACAACAGTGTTTCACAACTACATGTACTAAGCAAATCTCCTTAGTCAATCACAGTCTAATTTAAGTCAAGTCACATGCTATTGTTCATACCCCATTACAACGTACCGATACATGTACCTGTGACCGGACTTGTGAATAAACTTGTGGTATACATGTACATGAACACTATACACATGTGACCAAGCTTTGTGGTGGACTTGTTATGTGCTCAACTACAACACTACTAAATCTCATCTTCTATTACTGCCTTTAATTTTCACCCAGGAGGGTGAAGTACACATAGTCATTGCCATCAGGATTAGTGCCAGTTAGTCTGGGGTCACTGTCTTACTGGTCAGCAGCTCACATGAAAGTTACTTGAACCACGCTCATTCATGGATGAATTATAAATACGCACGGTAGTGGGAGTAAAGAATGCAGATGCCTTTTGCAGCTGCCGCTGCACTGTGCTATAAAATCATATCGACTTAAGTGGTAGGTAATCTTTTTAGATTACACTTGGAGGAGCAAACCATTTTATTGATAATCTTCCAGTGTGAGCTGCATTATGACAACTTGACTTCATGCAGACATCCAGACATTAAGGTACAGGTTCTTTTTACAACAGTCAATGAGACCAATGTTGTAAGTTGTCAAAAAGGTGCGCTAACGGAATCAAACGAAGGCGATGACAGCAGGTGGAGATGAAAGACTGGGGAAAAAAGGAACGGAGAGAGCAGTAACAGTCTCACAGACTTTTCAGTAAACTTTTAAGGGGGGCACATGCCCCCCCCCCCTTTTTTTTTAGTTACGCCAGTTCTGGGGACAAACTAGCATGGAGATTTAACTTACAACTTTGTGTGATTAATAAGAATCATACGTACATGTGCCACACACATACATGTAGAAACAGTCCTGAATCCTCAAAAGAACAAAAACCAACTACAATTCACGAAACCAACAGTGCATTTTTTTCTCTACTTTAACTCTATGTCAAAAGCCATCAAACTCCATGTAAAGTTAACGGTGGATAGGCTGCACATTGTATGCACATTACCTAGCTTCCTCAATCGTGGAAAATATTCCTAAACCTTTTAGGGGTCGATCACCCATAATAATTGTTACTTTTTCAAAAGTGTACAAAACGTAAGCTCGATGGGGGATGGGGAGGAGGAGGGGGTCAACGACCCATGTACGCTTTTAATATTCTGATAGAGTACATGTACATGTATGATGGATTCGGGCAGGGAAGGTCCGAAGCACGGCTGGGGAATTCGATGAACTTTGCCTACCCCAGATAAGCCATGTGTACTAGGTGGTGGATTTTAGTATCTTACATACTGTGTACATGTATGTGAAGCAGAGTGAAGCAGTTCCATGAGATAGTAAAGGCCGTCGCGGCTTCGCCGCTCGTGATAGTCTTTTAACGTGCCAGCATCCGGGGTGCGTTACATTGTACGTGTCCGGATGGGCCGGGTATAGGCGCATGGGACTTGACTAAAGGCTAAGTAAAAGTAAGTAAGGAGTTGGGGTTAAAGGGAGTAATAACCAGAGAGAATTGGGGTTATGCAGGGACTAATGGGTTGAAGGAATAGGGATCGACAGGATTGGTTAAAAGACATGAATGATTTCATCTAAGAGATTGAACATATACATGCACTGTGCACTGCAAGTTCAATACTACCGGTACATCCATACAGCATACATGTATGTCTTTAAACATTTCATTAGAGCCTAGACACATTTCCCCCCACTTTACGGTACATTAGACGCGCATAAAATACTTCACACACTCAATTTAATAACACATCCATTTCCACTCATCTCTTCTGGGTTGCCCAACGCAACAAAACTGCACATAGCATGCAGACAGTCCAAGTGCGAGCGCCAGGGACTCGTCAAATATTGATTGACGCTGCCGACTTGTGACTTCTGTTGTTTACATTTTAACAGAACCAGTAACCACACCAACAGCCAAACATAACTCACATGCGTCAAATATTCATTCCTCATGTGTACCAACCAAACACATATTGACATTAATATTGAAATGTTCTATATCTCCTTCATGATGAAATTTTTGGAGGGTAAAATGCTTCTGTTAGTAACATCTTGTACAAAAGGGGAACTTTTATCAATAATATCAAACAGGGATGGAAGTGGACTCGGAAATTTTTTTTTGCCTGAAATTCTATATAAAGGAAAAGAAGACATACATGTACCAGTACGGCAGCAATATATTATTTACAAATAGGGATGGGAACAGATGGCAACGAAAGAGCAAATACCATCTCATACTGAGGGGTGAGTGATTATATGGAAGATCAAAACTTAAATATTAAAAAATAATGAAGTAAAATATCATGAAAACTAGCAGTTAATGAAAGTCACCAGTCATGGTTCACAAGATGCGGGTCAACTTTTGTCAAAACTGAATCAAGATTTTTTTTCCTAAGACAACTCCAACTGCAATTCTGTACATTTACATTAAGCAGTAGCATAGAACCTAAACCTCTTACTCCTACAAGATTGAAATTAAGAACTTGTTTATCTCCAATCTGCGGGGTTAAGTGCTGGCACAAAAAGAAACCTATCCATTGTTTCTGTTGTCTGGAGATTGATTTCAAATGCTGCAGGTTTGCCTTAGCAATGCATGTATACATACAATGTATACTGTAATAGTTACTTTTTTTTAATGCTACCAGAACACAGGGGACACATAAGTAAAGACATGGATGAGTCTTTCATCAATTCCAAATTGTTCAAACTACATGTGTGGTGATACGTTTTGGAGGACTGGCCCTGCAGATATTCATATTGTTTATGGTTTGACCAATGAAAAATGTGCCTGCAAAATTGGACTTAACTGGAAAAAGTCAATTTCAGTCCTAAATTTTATAATAATAATAATAATAAGTACCGGTATAATAATACAGGAGTCTTATTTTTCATACGAATCTACTAACAATTACCGGTAGGCACTCAAGGCGCTAATTTTTTTTAATTTTAAAGACAGGTAAATGAAGTATTTGAAATATGAGACCCATTTTACAGGGAAGGGTTTACAAGGTGCTGCAGCGCATTAAGCAGCCACTGCCAAAAGCACCGGGGCAAACCCCTTTTCTAAGCAATAAATGTTACTGGGTTCTTTTAGGTACATTACACAGCACACAGGACCTACGGCTTTACGTCCCATCCAAAGACGAAGCACTAATGGTTAATTGTCTTGCTTAAGGACACAATTGTCAAGACCGGGACTCCAACCGACACTCTGGTGATCGGAAACACCATGGAGCTGGAGACTGGTACTCTTAACCACTTGGCCACGACACTCCGCATTCCTTAATTTTATTATCACTTTACATTATATTCAATTTAAATGCACTAAATGTACGGGTATCTCCATGTTGGAACAAGTGTTAGAGGCGGGCATAAATTTATATCTGTATTTTTTTTATTAGAATGGCTTAAGTTTCCATTTGTTCACAGTCAGTACGGGACAGTTAAACTAAATAGGGCCCATATATACTTCTTTTTTTTAAAATGTTGTTACCATAATTTATACTCCTGTATGGTTAACATTCAGAAGATAAACTCAACTGGTTGTGCATCTTTCTGTTTTGGAAATATGGGAATCATGCAAATATATTAGCACATTTAATTTTGCATAATACGCTTAACTTTTTATTAAATGCTTGAAGAATGTTCAGCTGTTTCTAATATTTTAAAGCCATGCATATGTTGGCTTTAATTTCATAAAAGAATTTTTATAAAATTGATTTGAATTCTTCTGGTCAATCCAAACAGAAAGCAGAATAAAAGTTGAATTTACATGCATTGATATAAAATTGATAAACAAGCTACTGCGCACAAACCAAATTTCAGGGGGACAAAAAGTGTAAAGAGTTGACAGTACCTTGATTATTTTGCTTGAGTTCATGCAGCAGGTCACTCTGTTTGCTGATCTCAGATTGCAGCAGCCTGTTTTGAAGCTCGCCATATCTTGCCACATCGTCCGCGTCGTTTCGGCTGCGCTCCAGATCTTTCTTCAGTTTTCTCTGATGGGCGAGCTTTCTGCTCATTTCCTCCTGAAGCCACTGCAGTTTACTCTGCCGAGGATGAATGATGTATGAGTTCACTCATGATGTGTAACGTGTATTTCAGACAGGACTTTGACTTTGGTTTGCATCTTATAATTGACTCAAACCAATGTCCCATTATCGGTCAGAGTTTTTCTTTCTTTCTAGAATTAGAGCCTGCCAAAATGAACATCCTGAGAAACAGACCGACAGAGAAACTGATGTGAACGGACTTTACGCAGGGCTCCACCTTAGCGGTAGCCCGCTAGCCAAATGCTACTCAAAACAGCGGGCTAGTCAAACTATTCCTTAAGGAGCCCGCCGGGTGAGTCTAAAATTATTGGGCTACGGCGAAGATGAAAGGAAAGGAAGAAATAAATCATTAAATTCAGAAAGCAAACCTGTATCAAGTTGTGTCTACTTTTATTAACTGTTTAGAGTTAAATTATTAGATCTTATATTAAAAACACTTAGGACAAAGATTGCCTCATACAGGATATGAATTTTACACATTAGTGTTAATGAGACACTCTATAAAAGGAAAGCATGCGGGCTAGTGAAAATGCCCGCGGGCTAGTGAAAATGCCCGCGGGCTAGTTAAGAGTCTGTATCGGTAGCCCGGTTGGCTAGTGAATCAAAAATAAGGTCGAAAACTGCTTTACGACACAACTATTATCAGTTGGTGCAATTTTCTAGGATGCATTTCTTTCCCATCCTTCAAGTTTGATTGGTATTTGAAAACAAAACGTTACTTTAATTAAAAAACAAAAACAAAATCAATGAACTGACAGGGGACAGGGGACAGGGGTCTTCTCCCTTGAGGGATTAATTAATTATTCCGCTTTGGGGACCAAAAGTGTCAATACCCTGAAGTTGCCAAGACAGAGTCCTAACTTCGTCAGCTGAGATGGAGAAAATCATTCCAATCCAGCTGCATTGTAAATTGACCGGAGCAGCAACGCTGAAATTGCTTACATGTATAGTCTGCAATGTCTTCCAGATGTTTAAACCAAAACATTCTTTGTACATTCATTGTTACTTAGTAAAATAACAATTAATCACCCTGCAAGACACCCATCGGTTCATGTATGCTTCAGGAAAAGTAATAAATAAAAAAGCATGATTTAAAGCAGAAAGAACTATCAAGATACGGTATTCATATACACAGGGTTCATACATTGTAATTTTCATTAAGAAAAATGATCTATGACATTAACAATACATTAATAATAATAAACAGCAAGCAATCAAAGTTCATTATAACATATAAGTCAATTGTATCCAACATCAGTCTTTATCACATGGAACAACCACCCCCTCATACATATTTTGTGTATATTTATTTACCTTGATTTCCGCCAGCCAGTGCTGCGGTCTATGCTTGGTATCTCTAGTCGGTGATGAGACGACTTTGTGTATCTCATCTTGTCCTGCACAAGCCACAACAAGGCAATCAACCTGCTGATTAATTGCTTGCAGAATGCTCTCAATCTCCAAATCCTGCTCCGTTACCTGGGTGGAGAGTCCTTTCAGACGTCTCTCCAGATGGGTTGCCCTGCAAATAAAATAAACAAGACATCCATTCCATGAAAATTAGAAACGAAGATGAACATTTTACATCATCAGCTCATAGACTCTGATAGAAAGAGAACTGCATGTTAGGGACTGCTTATCACTTTGTACAGGTTGACCCACAAAAAATGTAACAGTCGAATCGGGTTTGTTTTCAGAAAAATGGGGGTAGTATTCAAAATCGTGTAGAATAATGAGCAGAATAATTGGTCTTCCCAATACGTTTTAGTTGGTTTCATTAGGATGTTTTGTTCAAAATTTGTTCACAATGCGGGACTTGAAAAACCACTTGGGGCACTTTTTATTTACCAAGTTTTCAGATCGAAGCCGGTAGAATAAGTCACACTCTTGAACAAAGGAAATAAAATCCTTTGTGTGTTTCTCTAACTGTGCTTTCTCACTTTCAAGGAAAGTGGCCCAAGACGATTTTCAACCCTTGAGTTCGAAGAAGCATAGCATTTGTTCCAATGCATCGATTTGAATAAAATAAAGTTTGCATGGTTCCATAGATTGGTTATCTGACTTTAAGAGATAATTTGACAATATTCCAAAACCCACATGCAATTAATTGGCTTTCGACTGTTAGGTTTTTTTGTGGGACAACCGGTTCATGTATGAAACGGAATTATCAAAATCCTGTATAAGAGCCACTTCACACTCAGTGAGAATGCAGACACATTATTTGTAGCATCAAATCCAGTTTTCACACTGTGGAATCGCATGAGCTGAACACATTTGGACTTTGGCAAATTTCACCGCATATTTTTTCCGTGATCCCAAATTCGCTTTGCACTTGCATTCACATGAAGAATGAAGCACTGCTTTCAGACAGGATTCCAACCTGATACCTCTGAATTGCAATACAGGAGTTCTACCAACTGAGTTGATAGCCCTTGGTTGTAACTGGGACAATTTCTCAACGTTTAAGATGAGAGCTTGAGGTTAAAAGTCAGGTGGATCAAAAACACATCACATTTCTCAGCATTTTCCAACAAAACACAAGGTCACAAACTGATCTTGTTGATCTCAAATCAGCACAACAGAGTTTGGATATTATTCTAAAAATCGCACAACAGGGACCAATTACATGCATGGCGCTGCTAATGCTATAAGCACACAATTTTCTGCTAACAGAGCCTCTGTTTATTTCATGAAGACCGTAAGCAGTAAGTACAGCAAAAGGCATGCTTAACCCCATAGGAAAACGTTGCTTAAATCAGTGATGTATTAATAGAAATACCAATGCGTGCGCAACCGTTCGCCATTAACACATTCACACCATAAAATAGTGCTTAATATAAGGTTAGCAAAATTGTCTGCTACAGTCAGCACAACTTTTCTGCTAACTGTTAAACAGTTCACCTTGGATGACGTTACATATACGCAAAGGTTTTGCAGTATTCAGAACGGATGACGGATAAACACGTAACAAGCAAGGCTGGAAACATCTGTCTGCGATCTGCTCAAAACGAGCGAGGCTGGAAATATCAGGGTGTGCTAACCGCAGATGACGGCATGAACCCGTCTGGCATCGAGGTTTGTGAAAACAATCCTGCACCTGGGTCCGGTCATGTAAAAATAACCCCGGCGAGAACTGGTTGATAGCAGCGCCATAAAAATGGGTCCAGATTGTTGAAGTGTCAATACACATTTGCTTATAAAACATATTTTTATTATGTGAGACATCTGCACATTTATCAAAGCTTATCAAACCTCATCCATTTTACGTGAAAACTGCATCACACCAAAGGAAATTCTCCAAGTTCTCATCACAACAAAGTTTCAGTTCTGAATTATTAAACAAAAGTGTGTTTTGTTTTAAGTGCCAGTCAAACTTCATAATCTTTAACATTGACTCCATGCACACACACGTACACTGTACATGTAAGCACTAGTACCAGTACATGCAAGAGCGCATTTTTCTTTCACGCTGTGATTTGATAAACAGACAATTAAGAACAGTTGGTTCCAGGAATAACACTGGGTGCTTGTGGTCAACTCTAGTTGTTAGTCAGGCAATTAGATACATGTACCGGTATGTGTTCAATTTAACCCTAACCTTCCCAAATCCTCCCAATGTACTCTTTGTAAAATGGACGATTTTGCAGGATTGAGGCTATATGGCAAAAATGTGTGGCTGATTTTGGAGGATACACTGTGTCAAGGTCTTAGGCCGGACATTGTGTTGTTTATGCTCACTCGTGCATAAGCCTGGATTATACTTAAAATCCTCCGCACTGTTCCAAGATGTGCTCTGCCTCAACATATTGATAGTGATTGCTGGAGGATTTTGCAGGATTGAGGCAGTGGTCACCCCTCCAAGGACCACATTCAAGAAATAACGGAGGATTTTGCAGAATTGAGGCTGTATGCAATTTTTACATGAAGGCAGTTGAAGGATTTTGCAGGATTAGGGTTACATCCTAGCAAAAATACGAGTTAGGTTTAGAAGAAAAAAGAAAAACCAATTTGTTTTAAACATAAATACAAAGATCGCAAGTTAATAAAAAATAAAGGATTGATGTGCAGACTTAAAGATTTGCTTAGGAGTGTTTTTTTCTGGTATCTATAGACCGCTTGCAGACGCGTTCGATAATTGACGCGCGAAGGTGCGCGACGCCATGTTGTGGGACAAAATGTGCATGGATAGATATGCGCTTGTCCCACAACATGGCGTCGCGCGCCTTCGCGCGTCGATTATCGAACGCATCTTGCAAGCCGTCTATTCAATGTCCATGTACATATTGTACTAAGCGCATGCAGTTTCATAACGTCTTTAGGAATTTCCTCTTATTTTTCAGTTAAATGGCATCGTACTTTCACTGCTCAATTAAACACACAAGGAAAACAAACAACTATAATGCACAATGTGAACTGAATACAAATCGTTACTACCTCTTTGAAAACGTTTTACATTACAAAGGAACCTGATCCTAAAATGCCCACACTTTCCATTGACATTAGTGGCTCGGCACTATATGCCCCGCCATTTCAATATCCCCATATCATTTCAGTTAAAATGCATTTTGTTTTTGCCCAGTAAATCCAATTTCTTTTTAAATGCAAAGATCACAAGGTGATCAAAAATAACTGCTCAATTAAACACACAGAGAAACCATACAAGGCTAATGCACAATTTGAACTGAATACAAATCGTTACTAACTCTTTGAACATGCTACACTAAAATGCCCACTCTGTCCATTGTCCAATGACAGATGGTGGCTCAGCACTCTATGCCCCACCAATTCAATGCCCCGATACAAAGTCAACTCCTTTCCTGAAACCCTACTCACGGCAAATATTTGATTTTTATGTCGGCATTTCGAATTGCTCCCAAATTCCTTCCCCCACGAAAATTTGCCACATATCTGAGATTGCCCAAATATCCGGGCGCAAGTGTTGAATAATGTGCTGCGCGAATTACGGCGCTCTGCTATTTGCTGAGCATCGAAAATATGCATGAGCCGCGCGCACATCTGTCAAAATTGAAATTCTAGAAGTCCAACAAAATATTGACAAATATCGCAGGGCGGAAAAAAAAAAGACTCTGAAAAAGAGAAGTACACATACGCATGGATGGTGTACCGTTAATTGACACGTTAAGCTTTGGAAGAGTGAAGCCTTAGGCTGCAACATGATGCGTACGTAGTTGTAGCTTAAATATCTAGGGACTGGTAACTATCTACGCCTCTACAAAGATAAACCATTTTGTATTTACTTAAGTAGGTGTCTAGCCAAGGGGGCAATAGCGAGGGCATCACGGGTGCCATTTTACTGCCACAAATGATCACAGGTGAACTTGATTTGTTTGTTTTTAGGTTGATACAACAGAATCCTACGGTAGCTAAGTATTTCACAAAGTCTGTCCGCTAAAAGCACACTATCAAGTTTACAGTGACATCACCAAGCAAGCTACCCGGTACATGTATATTATATGAAAATTAATTTCATAACAAGTGGATTATAACAATGACATTTGATATGAGAAGTACATGTACAACAACACTTACTCTTGAAAATATTGCTTTTTGAGAGAGAACTGAACAGCACTGTCAAATTGCCTGTGTGCATTACCTCCATGTACATACGATACATGAAATACGAGATCTAAGAATTGACAGATTCTGCTGGATCGAAACATCAGTCCCTTCTTATTTTACAGTGTCTCAAGCTTTTAACTTTTACTTTCACTCCACTTAGAGCCAAAAATAAAAAAAAATAAAAGGGCGAACTACAAGTGCTTCATAATGGAACCTCTTTAGAAACCACTTACTACTCAGACTAAATGGGTTTCAAGAATATGGCTTGCTACAGTCCATCTGGGGTCTGTACTCTTAATGGTACAAACTTTCTTTTTTCAAATGTGGATGTTGCAGGACTAAAAATAGATAGATCAATATGAGAAACCTAGGGTGGTAGGGTATGAGACGATTCTGTGTCAGTTCATCAACACATCTAGTATTTGTGCAACCTTTTAAAAATATGGTGAAGAAAAAACTTACGATATAACACACTGGGAAAATGGTGATATAATAATGTGCTGCTACAATGGCAGAATATCTGGGCGAGCTATCAGTTTTATTAGAAGGCCCCCTTCAATGGCGAAAGCATTGTGCTAGCTATTGATCAGGAAATCCGTCACATGACAGTAACCATGTTCTGCATGATACCAGCTGGATAGTGCTGTCCATTTTTTTGAATACTTTAGTATTTGATTGTTCCAAACTGTGTTTGACCAAATATTCGAATATTTGAAACTCGCCAATCAAGTTTACACACAATGGCTGCTACTGCGTGCCATGTCAGTAAAAATGTTGCCGCAAAGTGCACCAGGTAAAATTTGTGTGCATTGATCGATGTTGTGGGCCGCTCGAATGCATTGCAGTCAGTATTTTATAAACTGTCAAGGGTTTTAGCCTGCTATGAGAACAATGAAGCACCGTTGACCAAAACAGTTGCTGTCAATTCGTCAACAAAAAGTA